CGGGGCCCATCAGCTATGCCGGAAGAACGCATCCCGTGAACAGCGACGAGAAATAGGTGGCAGGGAAAAAGGAGGGAGAAGGATATCAGCGCTTCGTTTACCGCCACCTAGACCACTTCCTGACCCGGGGGACTTGCGTGGGGAACGCTCTCCCGTTTACGAAGCGAGTAACGTAACGACATTCTCATGTCGCGAAAGACTGATAGAATTGAATTCTGGGTTAATTGGTAAAGTGGAGTTACCCTGCTCAAGCTCAATCCGTGGTAATAATATTTTTAAACGTTGTACGGTATCTCATAATTAATTTAACTTCGATGTGTGTGTGTGTGTGTGTGTGTGAGTGTGTTTTACTGTTAAAAGTTATTACAAAAAACAAGGCAATATCACGCTACAAAATTACATCGTTATAACGCAGAAATAACGATAATTAAATGTTGAGAATCTATTTTGCAATACGAAAACACTAATGATAAACTTGATAGATTTGGTTAACGAGCTTCTTTTAGTATTTCACGGAAAATAGTTGTACTGAAAAAGTGATATAAGAAAATTGAGAGCAGCACGACTCGAGATAAATGCAACCTACACCACGGTTTGCATTTATCTCGAGCGGTCACGCGGTAAGGACGTAACGCGTGGGATTAAATTCAGAATAGGTGCAGGCTGCGAAGAGACAGATGAAAAGGACGGTAGGAAAAACGTCTCTCGCTCGGTGGATCTCCGAGACGCGCGCGAAACGTAAGAGAAATAATTAAGAAGCTCGTCGCCGACTTTGCGCCTCAGTCGGAAACTAGCAGTCGGCGTCGCGTAAAAAAAAAGAGAGAAAAAAAATACGAGGACGTTGGCTTGATTATTGTTGGACACCAGCGGCGGTAGTGGCGAGTCTCAAGAAGAATAGTTGAAATTTAAGGGAATCCGTCTCACGGCGGACTGCGAAACGGTCGCGAATGTACTAACCGCGCGCGTGGAACAATGAATTTGCACTTTAGAATGTAAATGTTTCTCTCATGCGGATTAAGTGCGCCGTACGTGGGTATCTCATTAGGATGCTGCAGTAGACCGAATTTCATTAAACACGCCCAAAAACCTGCGTGTACTATGCAGAAGATTATCCGTAGCACGCACGAAACGAAACAAGAGCAATCATAATTTTATTTCATATATATAAAGCGCCTTTACAATAAATATTTTAACTTTTAAAGCTAAAGTTTTAATTGTATTCTATAAATTTTAGAAAAATCGTATCCACCTGTTTACCTTTCTGTCATTTTCTATATAATTCTACATGTTTATCCTTTTATTTATAAATAATAGTTAAATAAAGTTCATGTGTTTCTCTATATCGCTTCAACTTTATCGCGACAGATAAGTACAAAATCATCGAGTAATAAAACGCTATATTATTATGACAGGAAATAATACCTCGAACGTTTACACCTGTGCCTGAAAATGGTATCTAATTCATCTGTAATTACGCTGTCTCCTGAGAAATTGAACGCAACTGCGGTAATTGGCCCGTGGAGATTTCGCGAACAGTGCATTTCCGCACTCGCTCGAAAAATATTTTCCCGACAGGGATTGCGTCGCCACGTTACTATTTGTAACGATCGGACAGCGACGCGTTAAAATCGAGAAACCGATGTTCCGCAACGGTCAAACGGTACGGAGAAGTTACGGCCGCGCGAAATTGGCACGCTGCGCGGATCGCGCGCACGAAAAATTGGAAAAGCGGCAAACGGCGAGAAGATAGAACCAGGGACGTCTCGCGAGCTCCCCCGTCCTATTAGATCTGAAAATACTGCGGACATGTGCTGAATAAGAAACACGAGCACGGTTGAAATCTCTCGGGGAAATAAAGAAATTAAAGAAAAAAGAACGACTACGAATTGGATGAAATGTAAATGTGCCTCCCTCGTGCAATCAAAGCACTGATGAATCGATAAAAAAGTTGCATCGCATTGCATTGATAAAAATGTTTGCATTTTCAATTTCCTTTAATTTATGCTATAATCGTTTTCGTAATTTACGAGTTAAAATGTATGTAATTTTGCAATTATGTCTCACAGTGCTTCCACTCAATATAAGAAATTAAAAATATCAAACTTAAGAGAATTTACACATTCACTTTACAATGATATTGAAAAACTATGATATTGAAAAACTACTGAGTGTAATCGATAAAAGATAAATCCGGTTAAACGTGCAAAATGCGCGAATTGCAGAGTCATCAACAGGTTCTACGAGTCAGCCAAAAGTCATTGGCAGCACTCCAAAGGCGAGTTCACGAGAGACGTTGGTACACAGATGCTCGGAACGAGCGTTGTAAAGCGTTATATACTCTTATATAGGAAAAATCGGAAAAACGATCGAAGGAAACCTGTTCATCGATGCACTTGCATCCAGGCAATGTTATAATGATTATCCTGTCTATGCTTGCTTTAAGTACGTCAAAAATAAAAGAGTATAAGAGCGAAAGCAACAAAGATCGGCAGATAGTTTTACGGCATGTATTTTTAAATCGAACGGATTTTATTACGTCGACATCTATTATCAATATTTACAAGCGCGCATCGATAAATATCGTTGGAGCGTGAGAGTTAGCAAATCAAAGTACCTTAATATCTATATCTAAAATGAAAAACTTCCGAACAGGTTTTTTGCAATAAATAATAAAAGTGAGACGCGATCGAGCGAATTATTACTTCTCGCTGCGCGAATATTATTTTTGCAATAGCGTTGGTCGGAGTTAATGAAACTTTCACAACAGTTCAGTACGATTCTGTCAAAGAAGCTTTTGCAACTTCAACAAACATTATGATCAATACTGCAATCGGACAGGTGATTTCAAGGTATATCGGCCAAGATGCCGTATCTTCAACAGGTTTCTATCAAATCCATCCAGATAGTATTCAAAGAGATTACATTACACCAAGACAAAAGATATGTCTGAATGGACAAGGAAATAAAAGAGAAATATCATAAATAATAATAGATATATATGCCAATATCTGGTTCTTTAATATTAAATATAACTATAATTTATTAAATTAGCTATTAAGTTATTTAAACTAAAAAATTATTTTATCTATTCATTTATAATTATTAGACTATAAAAACCTCATCATTGCAATAATTAAATGCAAAATGTCATGGAATTTCTCTCATTTTGACTTTAAACTTTTAAAGTTTAAACATTAGATATTTTTATAATTTAAACTCAAAGAAATTTGCTTTTCTTTTCACTGTTTATTGGAAATTAATCAAAGAATTGGTTTCATTATTCTTTTACAATTCGGTAATCTAAATTTACTTTCTAATTAAAAGCTGTTTGTGTGTATTCTAACAAAAATATTACTCTATATACCGGTATTGAAAACCGCAATTCTTTCATATAAGCCTTCAATGACTGTAGTCGAAATAAAATGTAGCTCCGTAGCATATCTTATACATAATACTTGAAGAGAAAGGGTTAAACGTGCACATAATCCCCGAGGGTGTTTCTTGAAACGCACCGAGCCAGAGAAAGATCATCAACAGGTCGCCGTTGAATCGCGCAAAGGATCGCGTCCTTCCCTTTGCACTGACCTTGACGTGTGTTTCAACGAACGGTGTTTCGAAAGATAATCTTTCAATCGACCGTCGGCGAAAAATGGGAACACATTCCTACATCGATATAGTGCTTGACTTAAGAATAACGAACGCTATATCACTTGTAATTCCGGACGGTAAAGCCGCCGTGAAATTAATTTCCTTACGAGAAAAAATGCGAAATCCATTATCTATATTGTATCGTGAATAATTCCATCCAGTTAATCTTCTAAATTATTTTTCATTTAAAAAATTTAATAAGCAAATTATTGACAAAAACTAATACATTTAGAAGTTTTAGTCTTCCACGCTCGATTGTTGTTTAAAAAATCAAGATCGCTGCAATCTCTGATGTTAAAAGAAGAAAGAATAAGAAATATATATAGTCTGTTATTTCAAAGTTTTATTCCTACCCTTGAATTCAGACTCCAATGAATTAAATTAAATTTTGTATAAATCCAATATACCCATGTATATTGAACTAGCGCTTTGAAAAAAATTTAATTCCGTTGATTGGAATTTATCTTTAGAGTTCCTATATATCGATAGATAACAATAATATTTAAAAATATCAGAACATTGGATATATTAAATAAATTCGTTCGAATCAAATAAATCACGGGGAAAATAAAAGTTAATGAAAGATAAAATCTATTTTCATGACAAATGCACTGTATAATGTAATGTACTCCTATCTCTTTCACGACCAGATGTTTGCGCGTTTTCTCTCATTTTCTCATCATTATAAAAGAGCGGCGAAATGTCATACGCGCAAGATTGGCATTCGTACACGGAATAAAGTAATCTATTTTCAGCAAGGCACAGCTTCCATTCATGCTTAATTCAATTTTCTAGATAATTTTCTAGAATTTATTATATATAAAAAAAAGAATTATATTATAATAAAAAACTTATAAACGCGTTATAAAAAACCAAGATCGCACATCGGTATATTTTTAATAATTTTCCTGACTATTTAATCTTTCCGAAAAATTTTATGACATCTGAACTTTGATATGAAATGTATATTTGACCGAAGACTGAATAAAATATTTCAGAAGACGTGAGCTAGCTTTCGGATTCATGAATCCACTTTTCTTAAAAAATATTTGATAAAATATTTATTTTTCACGTTCGTCTATTTTTAACAAATATTTGATTGTCTTATCATAGCTTTTTAAAGCTGCCAACATCTCAGTAACCATGATAAAAAAATCTTAAAATTTAACTTGAAGATTTTTATTACTCATTTATATTTTGTTAAACAATTTAATGTTTTTTTTTTTCAATAATTTGTCACATACAAATTATCACCATTTCGGCATCAAAACATTGACATTAAAAACGTCACTCTTCTCGAAATTTTCATTATTATTTGTGAAATTAAACAAATATGCAAGCAAAAGACTCACCCTATTAAAAACGCTGCGCCACAATGCTCCGAGCGGCTTTTGCAAGTTGATGCTCCCACTTGAAGAAAAACGACGATACCGGCAACGGCGAGGAAGACGAAGATGAAGACGAAGGACACCTTCCCGATCGCGGCCTGAAAAGCATAGCACTGTTCACGGACTTTTTTTCGTAATACACGTACACGGCTCTGTACACGAGAGTGCGGGCTGCCGCGCGCGGTTTCGCTCGTGGGGGTGTCGCGGTGCGACTGTAGCACAATCGCTACCCTCTCACGCTCTCACGGTCTCCATCCCTCCGGACCGTCCCCTCCCGCAACCCTCTCTATCTACCTGACCCCCTCTCTCTGTCTCTCTCTATCTCCCTCTTTCTCTCGCTCTGTCTGCTTATCTCATCCCCCGCTGTCTCACTCCTTCTCACCCTCTCAGCTCCTCTCTCACTATAATATCCCCACCACCGATGTGTCTAGCCACTCCTGGAGCGGCAAAGTGCCTTTTCGAAACGCACCTCTCGCGGCGGCACTTTCTCGCTAACGGAATCGACGCCTTCAGCTCGGAGAGAAGATCCGCGGAAATCACCGGCTGCATTGACTGCGCTGACTGCACTGACTGCTCTCTCACACGGGCCACCGATCTGCGGCCGGTCGGAAGTTCGAAAAGCTCGCGCATGATCGGCCGATCGGCCCGCGCATCTTGCACTTGCCGAGAAATCGCAGCGCGTCCCGTCGCTCGTCCTTATGCATCGCACGCATGCGAGTTTTTGACGCGACGGTATGCGGGAGAACTCCGGAGAATATCACGTGTTGCTAGCATGGGAATTCAACCAAATTCCAGATTCGTGAATCGTAGCGAATCACGGCGAATTGAAAAGAGAAAAGCATGATCACAAGAATCTGTACTATCAACTGTTTTTATCTTTATTTTTAGCCTCTTACTCTCGATTGTGTTTCGTGTAACTTTATTCTTTCAAAATTTTAAAAACAGATCTACATTATAAACTTCTGTAAAATTTGAAACACTTTATATGATAATTATTATGCAAATATCACGATTGTTTTCAATTTTTTTTAACTTGTGGACTTTTTTCTCTCATAAAATAAATAAATTATAGAGAACGAGACAAATAATATATAATTACTTAATAAAATAATATAATAATTGTTTTTCCAAGTATACTTTTTCTGCCACATACACATACTTGAGAAAAATAGAGAAATACAAGATAGCCTCCATTTCGCGGCCTTTACGACTTGAATTTTACGCAGCATACAGCTTGGTGCATTTGATAACATTATTCAGTCGCACGTGGCAGAAGAAACACTAAGTTTCGTGAAATTATTATTTCGGGAAGAGGCAACCACTAACAACTGTACATGCGCGCACGCATACGAAATATCTTACTACGGCAGGTGTTCGAGGCCGCCGTGTTTGTAACTTTCCCCTTCGAATTCCATTAACTTTACGCGAAAATTCCGGAAACGTTTCAGGAAAATTCTTCCAACGAAATAATTGCCGCTCCTCGCGATATCGCGGGGGAATCTCGGCCACGCGCCGGAAGCGTGCTTCGAGAGAAAAGGAGAAAGAAGGAAAGAGAAGGAGAACGAAAACGTATATTATTTTTCGTTACACTCGCCATCCACTATAATATGGTATACGCTGCATGGGCTCCATAACATATCACAATAAATACGAAAGTGCTTTCTAAGCTATAATGTACCTCCTCCCAATGATAAGAAAAGAAAAATTTATGGCACGACTATAATTCGTATCAAAATAGAAAAATATGTTCTATTTTGATCGAAATATAATAATAATAATAATTAATACAGATAAGATAAAATCTTGCGTTAAGCATTATTCAATTATTCATGTATTAAAACACGCGTATAAATCTTCGAAACACTTTCTTATTTCACAAATATCATATATTACTCTCGTTTATTTTACTCCGACATGTCTGTTTCAATCAATAAATTTACTTGGTTTAACAGTTACCGCATTAAAAGTGTCAGTGGTGAAAGAGAAAAGAGTGCCATAACCGCGCTTAATCCTGGACAACGAAACGGAACGCGAACGTCCGTCGCGGGCGTACCGGCTTTTCTCATTCGAGCGATTTTGACCGGCGCATTCACCGAGCAGATAAATCACGCGCCTCTTCGCCGAGAAGCTTCGCGCTCCGTGATGGATGGACGGTCGCGGATAAATGCAGACCTGTGTCATCGCGCGGGACGATAGGAGGAAGTTCGGCATTCGTCGACGGGAAACACGGTGAAACAGAAACGCGGGCAGCGCGGGAGTTGCGCCGTTCTCGCGGAACTTTAAGAGGACCGGGAGGAGGAAGGAAGAAAGCTCGTTAAAAGTTTGCAACTCATACCCTGCCTCCCCTCGACCCCCGTTGCGCCAATCTGGCCCAACGTTGGGTATCGCTGTGACATGGTAAAACGTTATAGGATAAACAAATGTTCTTAAATCTTCGCTTTCCCGTTTATTTATTTCTCTCAAGCGTTCACCATAGCGTGCCGTATAAAAATAATTAGTAATATTTTAGCTCAGAATTTCTGCGATTTAATCTGTCATAACTATATTTTGTGTGAATTTGACAAGGGAATTAAAAGATGAAGAATGTTAAGGATAGCTTTTTTAACTTCTCGCCAGCAAAGTAATATCATTTATTCTTAATTTAATATAACTCTTTCCTGTATACTATAAAACGAGAAGTCTTTCCTGTGCGCAGAGATAATACTATCTAATTATTAATTAATTTCTCTTTCAGGGAATATAATTTTCCATCTCTTGTTGAAACGTTAATTTTACCTCGGCACCGATTGTCGCCGTCGGCATTGAGTTTCAGTGCGACAAGTTTCCGTGTTACGCGGCAAACAAATATTTGTCTTAAATTCTCCGTTACGTTTATCTCCGTATGCATTATCGGGGGCGCATGTACGGGGTGTGCCTAATGCACCGCGTCTATCGCGGATAGAGCAGCTCGTTGCGCAGAATTATATTTGCGCCATAACGCGTGTGCGTTTAAAGTTTCGCAGGTAAACGGGATCGATCGGCGAACTTCCGACGATAACTATTGTAGACTGCGAATTTAATTAAATCGATTATTGCGAAAACGCCGCGCAATAAGACAACGTAAAGTAGAACGCATTGCAAAGTGATATTTAATTCGTATCGAATGAATATACACGCGCTTGCGATGTTTAAATGAAAACTGTTTTCAACTAATCATGTTAATCCTTTGAAAAATGTTCAACACAAAAAAATAACTTATTGGCAGAAATATGCGTATCAAGACTTCCTAAAATCTGCCTATTTGGCATTTTCTTATTGGGTCACTGATTTCAGTCACAAAAACAATTTTTATATCAATTTAAGTACCATATGTGTGCACGTCCTTTATCATGCTTACGCAATCCATCTCGAAGTTTATTAAATAGTCAGCAGACACATATTCGAAGGAGGGGAATTTCTGTCATCCGTTGCCGCTTCACGGATGTCTCGCTTCACGGTTTTTCTCTCTTTTTAATCTCGCCCGAGATTCACTGCTTCCACCAAACACTCCGGTATCTTTATATTAATATTTTATTATTGCATCCCGCTATTTCGATGGATACTGTATTGCTTCAGCTAGAGATGCGTGTCGAAAGGCGAACTGTTTGAATTTCCCCCAGAGAAATATACGTATAAAAGATTTATCACATACAAGCAAACGTCTCGCAATGGTTTAACAAATATCGCATAACATACTTTGGCTATTTTACCGAAAGATGCCATTCCGCTTTAATGGACAACTCTTTTACAGTTTTATTCACCATTGAAAAATATTTTTGAAAAAATTGTGTTCTCGCAGTTTAAACAAATTTTTATTAACGTGTATGCTACTTCAGATGTTATAATTCTAACACGTTCATTAAAGTTAAATTAGAAAATGAAATAAATTAAGACAATTACAAGCCAAACGTAGGAAAGTGCCTTGTAAAGTTGACTCTTCGAGTTACACCAATTTGCAGCAATTTGACGCTCCTTCACTGTACATTAAGTTCTCTTAATTCAGTGGAATATTTTTATTCTTTAAATCTTTTCATATTATTTATTTAGAAAAATAGTTTGACAACATAATTAAACAAAATCGTTCTCGCTCGAAATAGACACGCGTCGTTCTTTGTTTTAATTCGCATTTTGTCGCGTTTGATTTTAGTAACCGTGCAAAAACGATTAAAGTTGCGATCTTCATCTCGTAAAAAATGCGCATCTCATAAACGCCGGCAATACGACAGTTTCCTAATCAAAAAAGTACGGAGAGAAAATAAAAGAGCTTCCCTTTCGATATCCCACAGTCTTTTGTTTCAGCGAGATTTTCGGGAGTAAAAGCACTTCTCTCTCTCTCTCTCTCTCTCTCTTTCTATTCTTTCTCCCTTTTTCTGTGATGTCACACCGACATTCTTTTCCAAGGGACGCGGGTTCGATATTAGGAAATACCTCCTGCCAATTTCCCATGTTATATAAGGTAAGCGTGTGCCCCCCTACGAAGACCGAAAGCCTCCCTGACACACTCTTCCCGTGTGTGAAACGATTTTACTTCGAAAATTTTTATACACTCAGGTGTAAGAAGGATGTGAAAAAGAGCGATCTTGCAAAAATTACTTTTAGTGCAATATTTTTTTCGCTATTTTTCATCTGAATGAAGCTACATTGATAATAAAATAAAAAATCAATCTAGCGAGTGTAGCAAGATGGAAATTTTTCAAAAGTTATCGTATAAATCTCTATTGCCCTAAAAACATCCAGGTAAAGTTAAATTATTGAAACAATCCTTGTTTCGACACGCGCGCGATGCGGTTCGTTTCATAACTGGCCTATGCAAATGTTGCAAATAGTATTGGTCGAATTATGCAAGTTGCTGGAAACGCGGACGTTAGATCGCAGAAATAGTTCGCAAATTCGAGTTCGGTGAAACGGTCGTGCAGAATAATATATCGCAAACGCGCGACAGTAGAACAGTAACAGAGATTATTATAGTCATCTTCATATACGTGTGCGTATAAATAGGTGCAGCCAGTTGCTGGTAACTAGTTGATAAATGATAGTTCCATATACAAACATATCTACCAATTATTTCCGAACACTAATT